TGAACTCACACAAGTATGTTGGGCTAAAAAATTTCGTTGCAAACGCGCAAAATATGACTCATCCTCCGATTTGAAATCAAAACATAATATTATTTTAGTTACAATGTTTCTTGACTGGAATTTGGTTTGCCACTTCAATCAAATGAAAATCAAACGACTACCAGCTTTTGAAAAAATCAAATATGAAATTTATTAAATCGAAAAAAAACCCACAAAGAAAAAAACTTAACTTGGTTGAAAGATATAACCGTAAATATAAAGAAAATTGTTTTTTCAAAAGATCAGTAACAATATGGAACAACCTTCATCAAATTTTTCCTCAGATGACGTACAGACTTATCGAAAAATTAAAGTTAGATTGAAGAATTTTTATATATCTCTATTTAAGGAAGATTATACCGTGAAAACCTGTGATAAACTGTCATGAAAAGACTTCATTTTTATTTGAGCACTTCTCTGATTGCCTTGTCAAAACTTAAGTAGTGCTATTTATAATTATATGTAATGTGAAATTATTTAAAATAAAAATAAAATGTGACCTACACTTGCTTCTTGAAAGTTATGCTTTTAAAGTGTTCTTTTTTCATATTTCCTGTTCATATGGGCGTATTCATTGTATTTGCTGTGCATATATGGTATAGAGGTCATAGAGACTTGAAATTAGTTGGATTCCAAGGCAGACATTGTTGAAAGTTTCCTCTTTTGATGAAAGAAACAAAGAAGGAATTCAGTTCTCCAAAATCATGTTTTTACAACATCTAATGTTTATAAACGAAACACAATGACTAAGGAAAAGATGAACAAAGGGCAAGTTAAATAGCAACTGAGAGTGTACACTTGAAAGTAAAGATTTTAAATATTGATTGATTATAAATGTATTTTTAAAAATATTTTTTTTTAGATATTAGAATTGTTGAATTATTAAAGAAGTTTTCCAAATTTATCAATGTCAAGGCTTGCTTCTCTGTCAAGACAATCGAATTATCTCGCTATCCAAATGGTTTAGTTGAAAACATTCAAAAATAAAACATTTGTTTAAAAAGTGGTTATGAGGAATCTTACCTTACAATCTCGCTATTTTGATACAGCGACGTTAACGAGAAGGAGAAAAAATTACTTATAATTTTTTAAATTAAGTTTCCCATTTTTTTAATTGTTCGAAATTTACGGTTTCTCTAAAACTAAGACTTAGTAAGCCATTTTCAGGATGCATTGGCAGCCTCAAATCAATTTCTGATAACATTTAACCAAACGTGGTTCTTTTTTTTCTCAGGAAATTTTTTTGATATATGCAATGTACTAGATGACCATTGCCAAGTATGTAATCTATTATATATTTAAATGCGGGCTTCACTATCTCGCCATGTTTAAGCTTTTTCAACGTATTATTTTTACATGTTTAAGTTATATCATATATTGCAATGGTTAAGAATTTTTTTTCGATTTTCCAATTTGATTTTAGTGGTAATTTTACCGAGTTTAAATTAAGCTGCACAATATCGAATTAGTGGTGGCGAATTTGGCCTCCAATTTTGAATGCCCGATCATTTTAGTTAACGAGATAAGACGATTTTTGAGATTTTTTCAAAATTTTTCAGAAATTTCAAATAAAATAATTTACAAAACTTGAAGTTCCCAACCCTGTAGTTGGGTGCTGTCAGAATACTCTAAGGAGTTACAAATCTTGCCACCAAATATGATTGTTTAAATCTTTGTAATTTTCGAGATATGACGTTTTTTTGTGATTTTTCAAAAAAAATTTCAGAAACCAATATTAATTTTTTTTCGTAAAGTCTGAAATTCCTAACCCTGTAGTTGGGTCCTCAAAGATTGCGAATCTTGCCTCCAAATATGATTGCTCAGTTCTTTGTAGTTTTCGAGATATGATGTTTTTTTGTGATTTTTTCAAAAATTTTCAGAAAACTTAAATTATTATTTGTTTTTCAAAATTTGAAATTTCCAACGCTATAGTTCGGTGTTGTCAGGGTACTCTAAAGAGTTGCAAATGTTGCGACATGCGACTGCTAAATGCGACTGCTCAAATGCTTATAGTTTCCGCGATGTGACGTTTTTTGATTTTTTCAAAATTTCTCGAAGAACTTATCTACAAAGAAATTCAAAAAATTTGAAAATACTAGCTTGATGAAAATACAACCTTATTGTCAGCTTACACCCAGGCGTCTCAAATCTTGCCTCTTAATATGAATGCTCAAATCCTTTTAGTTTCCGAGATAAGACGTTTTTTTTTCCGGTAAATTTAAGTTTAAAAAAATTCACAAAATTTTGGATTCCTAACCCTATAGTAGGGTGCCCTCAGGGACTCTCAGTGGTTGCAAATCTGGCCGCCAAATTTCTCCAGGGGCCCATTAAGTTTTCGAGATGACGCTTTTAAAATGGGAATTAAAAAAATTTAAAAGTTCGAAATTAGCAACCCTGTAATTGGGTGCAGTAAGAGTACACTAAAAGTTTGCAGATGTTGTTTCCAATATATGCGGTTTTTCATGAGCTTTCGAAAAATTTCGAAGCACCGAAGGTGCGTTAAACGCTAGTTATTCTTAAATTTACGATCAATTATAAAAAAAAAAATTCATTTTTGGAAATCAACCCGATTTTTTCAGGATGTAGATTGTTGACATTCATTACGTTGTTTAATAACTTGTAACCTCTATATGTCAAGGAACCTCATATGACAATTTATTCCTATCGGTTCGTTGTTTTTTGGCATCTTGTTGATTCGCCTTGTTTCTAAGATGAGTGTGTCTATGTTCGCCTGCTAGAATTCTTAGCTAGGTTTCTGAGAGTTTAATGCAGTATTGACAAAAAAATTTGATACTAATTTTTTGTTCTTATTGTTTTCGTATAAATTAGGTCGGCTAAGTTTGAACTTTGCTTTTTCAATTGCTCATTATCGGTTTATTTGAGTGCGTGATAGTAGATATTTGACATGATTTTTTGTTGATAATTTTTTAGAGTTATTGAAATGATTTTATTGATAGTTTTTTGAATTTTTGATCTTGAGTTTTTGTTTTTTGTTCGCTAATTTCTGTCGAAGTTCAGTCTCATAAGTTTTTGGTCTATTTTAAGTTTGTTCATTTAGTCATACTGATAGAAAATCAAAATTATTTCGTAATTTTTTAGATCTTATTTTAAAAAGTTAATGTGGGCTGGTTGTGATTTCATTTGAACCCATTAAACAAAAATTTAAGTTTTGTCGAAATAAGTTTGGTTAGCGGTTAACTTGTAATCGCGAATCAAAGTTCGCTAGTTTTGATTCGCGGTTTAGTTCAACCAATTTACGATAAAATCATTGTTTTTTTCTTTTTGAAATGGTTTAATAATAGAGATAAGTGATTCGCGCCTATGGCTCAAGCTAGGAACCATCTCTCTGTAAATTTTTGTTTTCGAACATGCTAAAGGTAAATTTTCACTGTTTTGGGGAAGTATGCTTTTATCAGATTGTTTCTCTTTTTCATTTCGCGTTCATTGACTGTTTTCCAACTGTCTGTTGGCTGTGTTTTAGTCTTAAGCGCTTTTCTGCCAATCAAGTTAGATGGATAGAAAATTGTATACCGAAAAAAACTTTTACCAGAGTCTGAAACAGTTTTTCGAAACTAAAATTAAACCGTTTTGTCGAATATGCAATGTGTTAAGGATATCATTTCAGAAAAAGATTATTGAAAGTCTCAAAAGCATCACTTCCAGTTGCCAACTAAATATTATTCCCTATTTTTATGTACAAACGGTTGTCGTCTTTCAAAGTTAGATTGTTGAAAATAGAATTGCAAATAATAGCTCTACTTTGTGCAGTTTCAATTGTTTGAATGGTTATATGAACAATTTTGGATCCCATGAAAACTTGATTTCATTTCGTTACCCTTGCGATCAGTAAGCGTATTGCAACCGGGAACTAGATTTTTTCCGCAAATACTTTGTTCACAGAATGGTCAATTTAAGGGAATAGTAAACACGCTCAATTTAACCAAAACTAACATCTATGTTAGAGATCAAAAGGGTGTAGCTCGTTTCTGGTTGTAACTTATTTTTGAGTTATTTTTCTTACAAAATTGATGAATATCGGATTCGTGGTTTTCGTCTTAGTTTCTTTTGGTTCATTTTAATTATTCAGTTTTTTTGGCTTTCTTTCCTATGCATAGGTCCTATTTCGATTTAAACAGTTTTCACTTTTATCGAAAGTTCTATAATATTAAAATTTATAGTCTGATTTTGAATATTAAGGCTTGCGATTAGCTAGCGTACAGCAGCGGTGGCCGAGTTGGTTTCGCACACGTGTCTCAAGACGAGGGTCATGCGTTCGAAACCTATTTTAGCCACAGTTGGAGTGGTCCCAGTGTCTTCCGCCTTCTCAAGGTGGGACAGGCTGCGGCGAAATGGATGACATTGGTCCTGCACTGTTGGTCCAGCACTGAGCAGGCCGGGGGCTAATAAAAAAAAATGGATGACATCTCCCTCCCCCTTTGAGCAGGACCGGGGACTAGTTTTATGAAATATGCTTTTTGCGTCCTTTTAACCATTTGCCGGCTGGAAACATGGCTGAATCAACGCCGAAAATCACAGTATTGTGTTTTCAGGGTGGAAAAAAAACATCTAACATTTCACATCCTAATGTTGGATGTTTTAAACGGCTGAGGGTTTGAATGACTGAGGGATTTCTTAGCAGGGAATTGAACCGCACGTAATAACCGGATACCCGACAACAAAATAGTCGACAGCTATCGAAGATGATTTATGTTTTATCTGTGATTCGGCCTCGCAATTCAAGTATTATTGGATACAGATGAATCAGCGAATTAAACCAGGGTGACCTAGGTTGAGTTTTTTTCCACAAAATCATGTACCCGAAAAATGTTGAACGTTGAGATAAGCTTTTCACGCTAACTCGGTTTTCTTCCTCTGTGAGTATGGCGTGTACCTTGACCTATCTCCGCCCAGTCCCTGGCTTTTCTTCTGTATAATTTTAAATAAAGTTTTCTTTCAGATTGCGAATGCTTAGAACAAGTAGAAATCAAAGATGCTAAATGTTTTCAAATGGAGCTGCGCAATATTTGTAGATCAGAAGCTGTAGATTTATGTCACCACGCCTTTGACTTCGAACAACCTGAAAAACACAGAAACTCATTCAAAGCAGTGGGGTCAACTGTCGTATTGCAGGTAGTTATCTAGAGAAGAAGTATGGCAGCCGGTGGTCATCCCAGAGGCCGTGGTCTGATGGAGGCCCCTAGATTAGACAGTCATATAAGGAGGGAGAATCCACAGAGGTTGTACAATATTGTCGAGCTGATAGGTTCAGGCAGCTATGGACAGGTGTACACGGTAAATATAACTCAATTTATGTTCATCCTGTTCTTGTTTCTTTCAGTTCGAGTTTTTTTTCTTAAGTATATTTATTCATCTTTTTCTTGAATAGTTTCTTCGTGTTTTTTTTTTCATTTAGTACTGAATGAGTAGAACATAAAAAACATGCAGATTTATAATTTGACGAAGCCAATTTTATACCATTTATTCGCAATTTTCGACGCGAATTGCATTTTCTCTGGGGTGGGAAATGTTAGCCCTCCCTGAAGAAACAAGCTTGAATTCTGCTGATCACGCAACCCTGATTTTCGATTGGAAGGTTTAGCTTATTGCCTTTTGGCCAATAATCACCCACAGGGCTTGTTTCATTAGAAGGAAACATTATAAAAACAGAATTGTCGTTTGCTCAACTAGTAGCACAGTTATTTTTGAAATGGATGAGATTTTTTCGGGGTTAGATGATGAGAGTTTTTCGGGGTTAGATTAGGAGTGAGGACTTCAAGTTTTCCTAGAACTTTAACTACGCTTGCGTTTAGCTAGCGTTATCAAACCGGAATGTAGAATTTTTTCGGGTTAACAACTTAGATAACAGAATCACTTGAATTACTTGTATCTTGATTCATAATAAATTCAAATTTGTAAGCGTTACCGGTCAACTTTACCTGGAAATAACGAATATTCCTAGGACGGCAAAGGTCCTGGTTTCGAATCTGACCAGGACCTTTTTTTTTCAAACGGGAAATATTCTGTTGTAAATAAAGTTGTCGGCCAATTATTTGTCTGCTTATCTGTTCTCGGCTTAGTTGTCACATCTTGGAATCGGCTTCTTTGCCGTGCACGTTTTTCTTAAATGTTGTTTTTATAATTTTACTTACCTTGACTTCGTATTTCCTTTTTTTTTGCTGAAAAAAATTCCTCTGCCCAAATTGGTTTGGCTTATTTTTAATCGGCTTAATGACCTAGTTTCGGATCGTTTTAAGGGAAACATTTTAAACGCTCTCTCCGCACTTTTCGAGTTAGTTTAATGCAGAGATGTTGTTAAAATAGTTAAACCATTGTTTTAACCATTAACCAATTAAATAATTTTCGGATAATCAAATCGGTTTAACCAATACTGGTTTTAAACAGTGATAAAAAATTTCCTTGTGTGAATCCATTCCGCATAAGCGGCTGCGCCTTCTTTTTCACACAAAAAACTATGATTCTCGGAAATATCAATTTTTTTGTTTATGGACTTTTTAGTTCTTGGACTTTTCTCTCTTATTATCCTGCCAAATCTGATATCATAGGTTTAATCTAAACAACAGATTGGCGAGTGCCTACCTTTATAACTGGCTACCCAGTTTGTTTTAGAAAAAATTGATGGCCCTCAAATATGTCAGAGTTTTGAAGCTTTGACAGTTTTTTTGGATACTTTTTTATTTTTGCAAAAACTACGGTGCCAATTCTCAGGTTGAATTCAATTGGGAAACCCGGTTTTGGGAACTTTCTCTGCTTAAGCGGCCACAACCTGCTTGTTGTGGAAATGAGGTGTGTAATTTGGAAATTCGGTTGACCGTTTTTTAGAACTTTTCACTGTTTTCTAGAAACTTATTGAATTTTTATTGTTCTTAAAGTTTACACAATAAAATCTGATTAAAAGTTAGATCGAAAGAACCGGTTTCAATAATTGTTCCCGCAGAAGCGACTACCCTTAATTTTTTATAAGAGAAATATTATTTTCTTGAGAAAATTGATAGTCTTAAAATTTTTTACTCTTCTCATTTATTTTAGTTGAGAAACACCTAAGGTTTTGGGCAAAGTCAAAACTTTTCAAATCACATGTTTCGTGCCGCATCTTTATAGCTAATTCATTCAATATCAAACGGTTACCTCCACTTTTAGCTGACCCCTAGATTTGTTCATTTAGAAATACGACAAATTTGGTTCACCTAGTTTTTTCTCAACGTTAAAAAAAATTTTGACTCGTTTTTTTTTGTTTGTTTTGTATCGCAAGTGCACGTTCTTTAATATGAATTACAGTTTATACGCTTCCGATTTTCGAAATTTCTTTTGATATATTTTTTGGGTTTAATGGCCGTGTACCCAAATAGTGGAGGCTTAGAGCTTTGTGAAATTTTTTTCAAAGCTGATTTAACAGTGGCAATTTGAGATAAACGTATGAAATTTTTGGCTGATACTTTTTTTTCAAACCATTTTTTGACCTAAAGGAATTAGTCTCTATATCTTCGTCTAGCTTGCCATACTTTTTTATTGATGAATAGCAGCTGATGCATAGCTCCGATTTGTCCGTGTTTAATTATTCAGAGCTAATGAACGAAATATTTATTACCGTGTTGATTTCTTGTGGCTGAAGTCTGGGCGTCATTTTTAAAGCTATTTTTGCTAGGATTTTTGACGAAAGTAACGAAGCATTTTTGTGAGCTGTGGTTTTGTGTCTCTTTATCTAAAACACGATAATTGCAAGTCCGCGTTTTTTTACGGCATTTGCGTATAATTTCCTTTTACGCAAATGCATATGCGTATAACGAATCAAGCCTGAAAAAATGAACCTCCAAATTCTTCTAGTTTTCGAGATCGCATTTTTTCAAAATTTTATCATCTCATTCTAAGCACATATTTTTTGCAGATGATTATTAATGAATATTTGCTCATCTAACCACAATTTTTATCCTCTAGTTCTATTTATTTTCAACTTTAGAATATTCGCATTTTTGAAAAAGAAAAAACTCGATTTTAGTAGGTATTTTTTGCGTTTTGTTTTTCCATTAATTTTTGAGGTTATTGAAACATCGTATAGCATTATCGATAGTAATCGATAGTGCATGCTACTAATTTGTACTCACGTCAAAAAGACATTAATAACCGCTTCAAAAAAATCTTATTTATTTTTTTCTTGTTTTAACAAAAAAAATTTAATTTGTATGTAGATTAGCGCCTTTAGTCTATCTTTTCCAATGTAGTGTAATGATTTGAATGTTTTGATATCAATTTTTTTGACCCAAAGGAATTAGTCTCTATATCTTCGTCTAGTTTGCCATACTATTTTATTGATGACTAGCAAATGATGCATAGCTCCGATTTGTCCGTGTTTAATTATTCAGAGCTAATGAACGAAATATTTATTACCGTGTTGATTTCTTGTGGCTGAAGTCTGGGCGTCATTTTTAAAGCTATGTTTGCTAAGATTTTTGACGAAAGTAACGAAGCTTTTTTGAGAGCTGTGGTTTTTTGTCTCTTTATCTAAAACACAATAATTGCAAGTCCGCGTTTTTTTTACGGCATTTGCGTATAATTTCCTTTTTTTATCAAACGAAAAAAAGGGAAATTTAGCTTTTCCTTATTGTTCCGACTTTCAGAGAAAACGGAAACTTATGCTTGGGTTGACTTTTTTATATTCAGTCAATTTTCGGCAATCGAAATAATATTTTTTAACAGACGTTTTTATACCCCATTGAAGATATCAACTCCTTGAAATCAAATGTAAAAATATATCTTACCTCCGATGTTTTTTTGCAACGTTATGGGAGCTTGAAAATTGCCACTGTGGCCCTGATCTGGACTAATTTATGCTCTTTGAAGATTTTTTTCCTAATACTGAAAGTGTAGCACAAATTGTGCATGCGTGCCGATTGATTCCGCACGATAAAATTGTTCGAAATTGTATTAAGGCTCATTTTAATCAAATAATCGGTAGTTTTAATATCGTGCGACTTAAACTTTCACAATTAATCTTTGACCTTGTCCAAAATTAAAGTTTTTTCATTATTTGTTCTTAAAAAAGATTTGAGGTGGACTATGGGGGCAGTCGAAACTTTCAGGGCTTTGCCCTGTATACGAGCAGTCTCGTTCTCATTCAAACGTTTTTCTTTTTGCAGGCGATACAAATTTATTGTGTGATTCCTCAAATTTTGTGGATTTTAATTAGATTTGACAAATGTTTCATCCTGCTTTGCTTAAATAAGTTAACTTGAACTTCAGATGAAACTATTCTACTAAGTGTGAAAAAAATAGGAGTGCTTGTAATCTTTGTGTCTTTCTTGATAATAACTATAAAGCTGAACCCTGTTGTAAGTTTCTTGGTGTCAATGTAGATGCTAACTTGAAATTTTGACAACAAATGAGTATTATAAATTCTAAACCAAGGCGGCTTTGCGGTATAGTTTTGACAATGAGATGCTATGTACCAACTTCGATTTTGCTCAAATACTATCAGTCAAATATAAAGCCAATAATACCATATGGTTTGCTCGTCTATGGTGGCACGAATTTTGCTTTTTTGAGTCAAGTCTTCCCCCCATTCTGTAAAAATGAAAGAGAAACGTGATCGTGAGCAAACAGAGGAGCAACATTACTGAACATTTTGAGTGACAATGGTCTGTTGCTGGAGAATATTGGAAAATATAAAGTAATCGAAGAAATTATTTTCGTTCATAAATGCTAAAAGAATTTTCGGAAATTTGAACTGGTACAGCACGTATTTCAATAGGTATTTATTTTTTTGAAAAGCTTTCCCAATATTTAGACCTTATCAAATTTAGGGGTCAATTCAGGGTGACGAATCTAGCCTGAAAAAATGAACCTCCAAATTCTTCTAGTTTTCGAGATCGCATTTTTTTCAAAATTTTATCATCTCATTCTAAGCGCATATTTTTTGCAGATGATTATTAATGAATATGTGCTCATCTGACCACAAATTTTATCCTCTAGTTCTATTTATTTTCAACTTTAGAATATTCGCATTTTTGAAAAAGAAAAAACTCGATTTTAGTAGGTATTTTTTGCGTTTTGTTTTTCCATTAATTTTTGAGGTTATTGAAACATCGTATAGCATTATCGATAGTAATCGATAGTGCATGCTACTAATTTGTACTCACGTCAAAAAGCCATTAATAACCGCTTCAAAAAAATCTTATTTATTTTTTTTCTTGTTTTAACAAAAAAAATTTAATTTGTGTGTAGATTAGCGCCTTTAGTCTATCTTTTCCAATGTAGTGTAATGATTTGAATGTTTTGAT